AAGCGCGTGAACTTTAAACTAAGAGGAAATAGAAAATATTTGAAAATTAAAGTGATATTTCTGGAATTCTGATCTTTTTCACTTCCAGAAAATCTCTAACAAATCAAAGAATTGTCTTTTCTTAAAACGACCTGGGATGACATGTGTGAATATATTTTTAATAATAAAAAAATTATGTGGCTCGTTTCTGGTGTTTCTTGTTTCTCGAGACTGGTGTCTCCTTGTAAGAATTTTTCAGTCGTTTTTACACAAAAATACCTCATCAATAATTAACATCTCCTTTTTTTTCAAGGGGGGTTCTATATTGGTGTACTAACAATCTTTAATCGTCAAATTAAATGGTAAAATCTTAAGAATTAAATGGTGCCACCATGTCTCAAATGTATCAGTCCTTAAAAAGCAAGCTGCAAAAGCGCTGAAGTCATGGTTACTAAACCCCGCTTAAGATGGGCTGACCACGTATGCAGGATGCAAGAAAACCGCCTACCGAAATCTCTTCTTTAAGGTGACCTTGTAGAGAGTAAGAGGAAACCGGGTAGACAACTCAAAAGATACAAAGATATTTTCCATGAAAACGCCTTGCGTAACCATCTCCTGATGCGTGTCAAATACTCGTCAACAGGTAATGGCAGTAAGTAAGTAAGTAACAATTTGAACAAGAGTTTTTTTTTTATATGTCTAATCGAATTTAGTATTATCATTGATTAATTTTTTAAAGTATATTGATCAATGTTCTTTTCAAAGTCTTATTATTTAATTTATTGACGATAATATATGATGATGAATTAGCTATGAACACATGTACAAAACGGCTTCTAAGAACAACAGAAATGCGAACACTGACCAATTACAGGATATACCTTATATGATCGGAAAAGAAATGAGGATATAAGTGAAACATGTGAAATACAGGATGTAGTAAGATGGACAAGAAACAGGAGAAGAGAGTGGAGAGACCATATGGACAAGATGTCAAACAACGGGTAGCGAAAATCGCTAAAGAGAAAAGACCTAACACGCCTCGACCGCCGGGGCGACCACCTATAAGATGGTATGAAAGCTGGTCTTCATCATCCCAACTGTTCTTAGGGTACCATTCGAGAAAAAACAGGACTTGGTCCTAACGTACGAAAGAGAAGAAGAAGTAGGTATGATAAAAATCAGCTAGAAAAGGTGTGAACACTCCACTACTGCACCAGAACCGTTCCGCTTCACAAGTGGGAACCAATTTAAAACTCAAGAACCTGGAAGACTCCATGCGTAACCTGGAATGGAAATCCTCCAACGGTCAATACACTTGAAGAAATTTCTCAAAACTTACCACCGAGAACAATCAAAGGGATTTCTTGATTTAAGTAAGAACAATCTTCAAATTGTCGCCAACGAACACCTCAGTAGATTGAAGCTAAGGAAAAAGACGAAAGCAGATTCTGTGGGGAAAATGTGGAAACACCAGAACACTTCATCACTGAGTGCGCCGAGACAACAACCACATTCATGCCATAAACTTTGGTACGACTGATATCGGAGTTGGAGAACTAGCCTCTGTGAAGCCGTTTTAGATACTGGCTTTTGTCAAAGCCCTGAGACTGTATGATGAGTTATAACTCGTTATAATTCAAGAAAGGGGACAAACAATAGATTTGTAAGGTCGCGATGATTAACTCTCCTCTTAAACAGTCTACATTCTACAACTCAGAAGAACAACTCTTGAATGATCAGTATAAACAGGCATGGCAATCACATAATATATGACGGCTATACTTGTTGATATACCTGGAATAAAAGTGCTAAGAGTCACGACAATTTATTAAATACGCAAATCCAATATTCAGAACAACTAAAATTCCAACCAATACTAACAACTATTGAAAATTGCCAAATAAAATGGTATGGACATTACAAAAAAAAAAGACTGAACAAGGAGGGACCAGCAAAAAATATATGGGAAGCAAAAAGGCACGAAAAGAGGAAAAGGGTAGACCTATAACTACTTGGTACCAACATATTGCAAAAATACTTAAAGCTAAAGGGATCAGCAGCACCGAAGTAGCAGTCATCACAATGGATAAGAAGATTTTTTTATTTATACACCCAGATGCAGAAAAAAACGCAACGGGGAAATGTTGGTCAAATTTAAAGTGTTATATTTTTGTTATTTTACTTATACAGTGTGGTATTTTTGTTATTTTGTTTATACAGAAAAAAACGCAACGGGGAAATTTTGGTCAAATTTAAAGTGTTGTATTTTTGTTATTTTTAGCCTTAGTTTCATGAATTTTTTAGCAAGCTGTATATAATTATGTCAACTTTAATTCGTAAACTCAGTTTTTTATAAACTTTAGTATTTGGCATATTATACAGGGTTAATTGAGGGGTTGTTTTTTACCCTAACTTTAAAACACCCTGTGCAATAATTTGAACGTTTAACGAAAATGAACTTGCCACCAACAATTGCAATTTTTTCAATTATCATTTCTTTTTGAAGTTATTTTCAATATGACAATGCGGCATTGTTGATTATTGTAAACTATATACTACTATGTACTGCCCATAATGTTCGACGTTTGCAAAATGCTTGGCAGGAGGGCTGGGGGTCGCAAAGCGGTACCAGCTTTATTAAATAAACTTCACTTGGTCCTTAAAGAAGAATAGGAAAACATAACCCAATATGACATTTATATGATTATGCAGCCTATTGAGGCTGCATAATCATATAAACATATAAACAATGTCATTGGACAGTATGAACGGACCTCTACAGGCAGTTATCGCTGCCAAGGGAAACAATACAAAGTATTACGGTACTTTTTACATTTTTTTCTGTTTGTATACTTGAGCATTACAGACGTTTTCTTTAATATTGTTAGTTCTGTTATCTTTATCAGAGGCGCCGACTGCGTGGGGCTGGGGTGCTCTAGCACCCACGAGAAAAAAACAGTGGGTGCGGAGCACCCACGAACATAAACGCCAAAATTAGTCAGTTTAGCAACTTTAAGCGACACTTATCCACTGCAAGGCAAGAGGTTGCTCAACTGTAGAAAGTCCTTTGGAAAATGCACGATGCGCGATGCACTGATGAAAAAGTTCCACAGTATAATCTGTGACAGTATGATTACTGTAGTTTTTCGAAGAAATAAATTCTAAGTAAGTTCTCTCGTCAATTCTTAGGTAGTTAACTACTCCTGTTTTGCCACTTTTAAATCGGCAAGGAAATTGATATGGGAATAATTATTTCCTTTAAGTAGCCAATCTTTGGTCCATTTGTTTCTATTAACTAATCGTTGCTTTTCTGCCTTTTCTTTATTGCACCAGCCAGCAAAATGCAAAACAGAACTGTATCTCGAGAGGCGATTTTCACTTAGAAAAAAAGTGCTGAAGTGAGTGCGTCACTCAGTTCATTGTAGATAAAACTATACTATAAAACTAGGTGTGTGCGGCAGGCTGTAGTACAGGTTAATCTACGCAAACTGGACAGCACAGTTTCTCTGTGTTAAACTGAGTCTGGACTAATCTGAGTCTGTGTGGGCTCCAAAAGTGTTTAGAGATTAGAGTTTATATATCTATCTATCTATGATAATTGTAATTGTTATAAATTGGAAGCGAATTTTCAACTACTTTAGGAATGGCAAAAATTTATTTGGCTTTTGGATTCTGAACAGTCCTAAAGCTCCGTCATAGAAAGCTGCTAGATAATGTTCAGAATCGGTAACATAGAACCTGAAGTATGTTGTGTTTATTTTCGAGAATTTTTAGTTTTGATGGATAAATTTGTTGATCGAAACCCTAAGCTGTCCAATCCCGAATATCCTTCCACTATTTTCTCAGCAATTTATAACTTCACTCATTTTGTATCTTTATATAAACTACAGTATCTGTCTGTTTTACTATCTGCCCTTACACGATTGTAATGGGTATCATTATTATCGTATGATCGAAAAAAACGGCGTTCAGTTGGCTGGGAAATGACGATCAATAACATTTCCCATGTAAATTTACATATAAAATGACATATGAATGCGATCTTTATTTCACAGTCTGACGCCGTTTTTTTCATCGTACGGTATATTCTCAAATTGGTATCTGCACTAAAAAATTATTTCTACATAACTCAAATTATACTCAATAGGATTGTAAAAATTACATAAACACTTTTTACATATTACATATGTAAAAAAGTGTTAAATACAACAAATGTAACAATCTGGAAATTTATTACATTTACTTATATCTGATGAGCACCCACGAGGTTTTATAAAACTCGGCGCCCCTGATCGTTATTAATGTTTATTAAAACCCGGGCTGTATCGTTAGTCTTTAACGTTTTTTCTTTAATTTAGTATAGAGTATCCAATGCAGCGTATTATGACGTTACGGCAATAATAGTAACCAAAACCATCTCATCATATTAAAAAATTACATCAAAAAGTAATCATATAATTGAAAAAATTGCAAATCGATCGTGATCAGTTCATTTCTCTTTTAAAAATTAACCAAAGCATATATTGATATGAAAATATACATACGAAATTATTGCACAGGGTGTTTTACGATTATGGTAAAAAACAACCCTTCGATTAACCCTGTATAATATGCCAAATACTAAATTTATAAAAAACTAAGTTTACGAATTTAAGTTGATATAATTTTACGGCTTGCTAAAAAATTCATGAAAATAGGGCTCAAAATAACAAAAATATAACACTTTAAATTTGACCAACAATTTCTACGTTGCTTTTTTTGCATGAGTGTAGAAACAAGAAGTAGCTACTAGAAACCTACACCTTTGGATAGAAAACCTTCGATGCTAAAAACGATAACAATAAAACAATACGATGATAAAAATAATGAAAAAATGAATTGAGATGCATATTTGAATGGCATGGCTTAAAATGGTGTCAAAAATATTAAATTAAAGAAATATCTCTATTTTTAACTTCTTCGTTTACTTTAACAATGTAAATATTTAGATCAATAATAATTAATAACATTGGACTTACCTTCGAAATCCAAATGCTATCGAACCAATAAGAGTGTCAGCTGGTGTTCTTTCAATAGCCACCACTTAGGGTTTGGTGTTGCCACAACACTCGCGCTTGTATAAAGCGGTACGGTCTTGGATCCCCTCCAAAGTATTTCGGGACGTTTTTGCACCGCGCCGACAAAGTCAGTGTGAGTAATGCACATTCTGTTCCACGTTTAAACCGCCAATCGAATGGTCGGAATTCGGTGACGTGAGAACTCTAAAATTATCAACCGTCAAAATATTAATCGTATTTTTTCGGAAAAAGTATCGTTTTGAGAAAGTTTCCAGATGGGAGGAAGATGTCATTCATAAGTATCCGGTGATGATGCTATTTATAGGGTATCTATTAAACCAGTAAGAATGGAAGCTTTAGGAATGTGAATCTCATCAATAACATTAATTGTAAAAAAATGCCAAGGGGCGCAATGCGGTTCTTCTACAAGAAGTTGTAAGATCTCATGTAAAACCATGCATTTATTTTAGGTATTATGGATATTTAGTGTCTATTTAATACATGCTTATTAATTATGTTATCAATTAACATTTATGTTGACGGTATCAATACTATCTTGACTGACATCCTATTTCTATAATAATTATAATGAATATTCTACTAAATAAAATACTTTATTCTTTAGTGCAGTGTTTAGATTAAGTTTTTAATCAAAATAGTAGATTTATATTTTATAATTAAGATGCCGTGCAAGCTCCAAATCATTATATTATTAGATGTTTCAAGTTTAAAGAGAGACATTTTATCTCTACATATGTTTGGGCTTTTTCAAAAGTGCCTTAAAATTGAAAAAGACCTAACAAAGGAAACCAAACCAAACTAAAAAAAATATTCCCATTATACTGGAAACATCTAAAAGCGTGTTTTATTAAAATACGAATATTTCAACGATGTTTTACAAAGGACTTGCCACAGATTCAATACTATTTAATATACAGGGTGGTCCGAACCGTATTCCGGAAACTTGGGCAGCATGTTCTGCAGATAAAAATAAGTAAAAAAGTTCGTTTAAATGTATGTCTTAAAATGCTTAGTTTCGGAGATACAGAGTGTAGAAGTTTCATTTTTATTTGAATTGTGTCCAAATAATTTCTGAAGTAACGTTAATATTTGAATTAAAATTGATGTCTGGGAAATTTGATTTTTATGTCAATATGAATCCTATTTGTAGGGGGCGCCACCTACATGTGTTTAAACCAGGGGGGTGACAGTAAACCGGAAAATTGGAAACAGTTGTGGCGCGGTTCTACCCAGGCAAAAAGCATGGACTTCTAGACTGTCCTAGACAAAAATCTGAATATTTCTATATGATTTCTGTCAATTTCTGCTACGGAACATTTTTATGCACGTCGGTGTCCTGTTCTTTAGTCTTTTGTCTGTGTGTCAGCGTCAGCTCCCGAGGCCTCTGGCAAGGTCGGGCGCCATTTTAATTTTTGCCGTTTAGATTTGATTGGAAGCTTGTTTCTGATATTTCGGCTGAAATTTATAAGTTCAAAGATGTTTTTTGATATAAAGTTCCTTGTTAACACTTTAATAAAGTATATATGATATTAATTACATGAAGGAAATGATGAAATCGACGTTTCTGCGTGTAGTAGGTATGGGCCACATTATATGTAAAAATAGGTAATATATTAACTGTTTTTATATTTTTTTAGCTTTGAACCCAAGGATCTTGGGATATTCTTTGCCAAGGATTTTTCCGTATCTCTACTTTAAAGACTGATCGGTGATTTTGAGCAATTGAAAGCAAGTTATACAAGGTAAATTATGATTATTGAACTATTATTAGCCTACATTAATTTTCTACAAGATGAACAGAAATGCGTAATTACATATCACATAGGTACCTATTATGTATTTTCATAGCAATAATGCTATAAATCTATGTATGTAGATTATTTTTAAAATACAAATGAGGTATTAGATGTATATGTATCATATTTTTTATTCATTTTATTTTCATTCAAGTCCTGTTTGATGTAATTCACAAAAGTCTTATGTACCTAGATTTATGTTTTTTACATATTTTTTTTGATTCCAGGTTTTGTGTTGGTTCCGGTTGCCTTTTTCCTGCTTCCAGTTATTTAGTTTTATGCCCGTGAAGCTGTGAAAACATTTATGTATCTTCAAGTTTCTGTAAGTCCAATGCACTGTTACTTTACTAATTCACTTTAACACAGCATCTCTGATATTATTTAAATATTTGATATTGATACAGTAGTTTATTGGTTTATAGCTCTTTAATTGTGTTGATTTGCATATTTACATTGTTCTAAATTCCAAATAAATATTTTTGAGTAATTTTGTTGTATTATTTACTACTAGAAAGAGTAAAAAGTATATTAACCCTCATTTAAACCTCCTGAACAGCCCGCCATTAAAAACCGGAAATGGAAATAAATTTCATAAAATTGAAATTGTCATGTCTATGTCATGTCAAATGTCCCAGCCGCCATATCTGAAAATTAGTTACCCAGGCAGCCACGCTGTTTCCATAATTTAACATTGACTTGACACTTCTTCTTGTATTTATTATTTTATGGTTTAAACTGTTTCGAAGAGTAATAACTTTTTGTCCGTACCTGTATAAAAGTACTGAGTGTAAAAAAATATACATTTCCGTTACTTTTTACGTAAAATATGCCTCTTGGTAAAAATCGCTACGAGTAACCGTTCTCAAGATATTTAGAATGGAAATAGTCAATACATGTCATTATTGACAGAAAATGAACACGTTGAGTAGACAGTTTTTTTTTAATTAATCATATTTTTTGTGAAGAAATGATGATAAAACAGTTTCTGTTGAACTTATGACACAAAAACATTTTAAATTTATGATGTCAGTCTAATAAGTATTTAGTCAACATGTTTAATTTATGTCAATGATGATAGGTATTGATAATGTTGATTCTAAATATCTCGAGAACCATTACTCGTAGAGATTTTTCCCAAGAGACCTTCTTTACGTAAAAAATGTCGTAAATGTGTAGCGTTTTTTAAACCACTACCACTGCGAACGGCAGCATTTCATCGGAGAGCAGTCGTGGATAAGGTATTTCACTAGAGAGAAAATTAATCCGTAATAATTAACAAAAGGTATATAGATATTGGGCGCCAGGTATATACAGAGAAAGAAAACACAGTTGTGTAATACTTAAAACTAATGACTATATTTATTCATGACGTTCTTTGCTGATACATGACATTGTAGAGTTCTAGTAAATATATAGTGGTTATATGTCAAAGAAAGTGGTGGTAGGAGTCGTACTAAATATCAATGAAAACAACTACGATAAAATACAGGACATGTAAAGTTTAAGAGAAAATATGAAATGTAGCATTACTTTAATTAATTTGATATATTCCATATGATGCTAAATCGAAGATGTTACACTGTAGATTCTAGAATCTATGTTTGATTATCCATCTATCAAAATAGTGCAATAATATCTATAAAAGTAATACCATTACAAGATGTAATGCAATGAAACCTAAGATCTAAATTATATTTTAAAGATTATATCGACATGAATGTTCTTAACAATCTAACCACTGAACATAGTCTGTACGATATTACTTAAGATGTATGTTATTGTTTAAGACTGAAAATATTTTAGATGTTAAATGTAAAACTAGAACTTAAATATACACTTAGCTGTTTTTTTTATGTAACCTTGCTTCAAACAGTAGCAGCGTGAGGTGGTCTAGCATCTCTGTACTGTCTGTCAGCGATCCTGTTGGCCAAAACAACAAAAGGGGCCAGATTGAGGACACCATGAATCCTTACAGCCGTAGCTACTGACTAGGCTTAGAAATGGGAGTGAAGCAGCATGGGACTCAAGCTACATCCACGCTGTGGCACTTAGATGTAAGAAAAAATCGTTCTTACTGGGGACACTCGTCCACAGGACATCTGTACATAAGAGAATGTCTGTACATAAGGCACTACCCGTACCTTGGACCCTACAAATATGAAACTTTTGTTTAAAACCAAACAAGATTTTATAAACAATGAACCTACCTCGAATTACTTCCGAGGGCTCACTAAATAATAAAGAACCTGTCCTTCCTTCCATGTGACATTCTGGAGGACAAAAGAAAAGGGACGCCAACGTGCCAGCAAAACACAATTACAAGTTAGGTTGGGGCATCACGCAACTCTACCCTAAAAATACGCAGTAATAGTAACGAATCTAAAAGGATAATATCTCATCTTTACCTGTAGCTTCGAAATAGCAGCTGATTCAGATTACACAGCAAGATTTAAATAATCACCATTTCTCAAAAAAACTGGGTCTAATGGCGTCTGACAGGCCAAAACAGTCTAACCAAAAGTGAAGTTAAATCACAGAGAGTTGACAGAAGCGATGTTGACAGCGCGCGCCTCCACAGAGCGATAACAGGGTTGTGTCAAACGAAAACAGGGTTGTGGACTAGAGAACGTAAAAATTCGTCAAATAAATCATCAGGCCCGAACGATACGGAATCGGGTGACGATATGCCAGACATCATATATTATATATAAAAAAGACATGTAACGAACTAAAAACGTTACAAATGTATATTTTTTACTCGGTATTTTTATACAGGTACGGACTAAAAGTTATTACTCTTCAAACCAGTTAAAAAATATGCACCAAAGGTGGCACCCTCTACAAGTAGAAATCATATTGACATCAAAATCAAATTTCTCATGTCAAAAAAATCCTAGACATCAATTTTCATTTGGAAAAAATCGAAATAAAAATGAAACTTCTACACCCTGTCTCTCCGAAACTAAGCATTTTCGGACCCTCCCCCTTCTTTTTCTCTTGTAATGTATCTATCAAAATAACATCAACATGTAAATAAATAAGTAAACCTTTCAATCAACCAATCAACAACAGTAAATGAAATTATAAACAAAAATCGTAAAAGTATATTACGATCAGTGGTGGTCGATAGAGCAGCTAACTGAAAATTTGACGTGAGACATACAGTTTTAAAATTAAGATATCCAAAGTAGTCAAAATTAAAAAATCCATAAACAAATGAAACCAAAGCATCTAAAACTCATTCATCAGAATTAATAAGTAACTAGTTACTAGAGTAATAATAATTTGGGATTTTTATTTTTTCCTCAAAGTAAAATTCCCAATTTGGAGTGAGATCTAGAAGCACCCTGTGCATACAATGTAAATATAATAAAAATATTGTAGCACTATATTTCTTCTTCTATACCTTTAATAACCTTTAATAATTTAATTAGGTTTTATTATCCATATTTATTATCATAAATATACCTAAGATTGTTATCAAAATTAAAATAATTGAGTCAAATTTCTAATATTATTAACAACTAAGGAGTAATAGTATATAGAATATTATCAAGATTATTGTTGCTAATCAACCATTTTTTAGGCTTTAATATTTAAACTAATAGAATTCAAGAAATATGTTATGCCGCACATTTGGAAGAAATTGATTAGTCCCCCAAACATTGACAGATGTGAAATAGTATAATAATAATTATAATTATAATTAAATAAAAAAAAATTATAAATCAAAATAAAAGTTCTTTACAAAAATACAAATATAAACTACTCAGTTCAAAATATGTGTAGGTTTGATTAGTCACTTTCTTTAGAGGTATTTTATTTCTATACTTTTTTTCTGAACAATATACGAACACACCTGTATTAAGCCTATTATTATCGATAAAATTGTTGGCTCAGACTATCTAAATGAATCATTAAGAAATACTTTATGACTAAAACATCAAATCTTTCGCCAACAAGTTCCAATGGAACTTAAATAAAAAACAACACACCTATAAATATTGTATTGCACGTAAGTTTTATGATACTTTGATTCCAAAATCTAATAATACAAAAGGTATAATATCATTTTTCTTCTTAGTTGTTCTAAATAATCATTTAAGTCAATCACAGATCACAGATACAAACTTTAATAAAAATGGTTTAAATAAAGAATTTCCAGTAATCAATATATTTAATTTAAGACGTAAGGAACAAGGTATCTGAGTAATTTTATATCCTAAGCTCCATATTCATTAGATAAGAGATTTTATCAGATTTATTAGATTACAACGTACGTGAACATCTTCTTTAATTAAAGCTCAGCATGTTATACAAGATGCATGCAGACTACTAAATGTAGCCCGTATTCTCTTTTCGTATGTTCTTTGCTCAAACTTTCGATTAGTGTGTCAGTGGAACGTCAAGGTTTACTTCGTAATTCGGTATCCGGAAAGTTCAATATTTTCGTGTTATTGTTTTTATAAAATACAATTAATATATTTCCAATGTTTGTCTTATTTTCTGCCTAAGAAAACAATGAATATTTTATTACAAAGCCTCTTAACCTATTAACGAATATTCTTATATCGTTATAATGTTATAAAAATACACAGATGTGATTTATATTTTTAGTTTCTAAAATCACAATTTTATAACCTTTATTTTTTTCTAGTTTTCTAAAATGACCATAGTTTATAAAATACTTTGTATATTATGTAAATAATAAGATATAATTTAACAAGTAACAAAAAAACGACATAAATAATACTACTAAACAGATGTAAGATCAGAGAAAAAGCAACAAAGATGTAAATAATATTTTTATTGACCATCTTAGAGGAATAATCCAAAGTGCTAAGTATAGATTGTTAATTTACCTTTTCAAAAGGAAATTTTCATGTATTTTAAAGTTTTATATATTGTATTCTAGCCGACCGATTTTGATGATTTCTTAAGAAATTTGTAGCTAAATTATTTGACTTTTTAGTATCTCTTTCTAGATTAAAAACGAAAGTTGTCATCTTTAATTTATACGAGGGAAAACAACATGTTGATATTTTGGTGAAAGTTTGGGACACCCAGTTGAAAATTATTTTACCATCTAGGTGTATATTTTCCCAATAGTTTTTTTTAATTGATCTCAATAGCTCCATTTTTTTGGACATATTGACTTTTGAAGAAGGCGCTAATATTTCTTCGTATTTTTACATTAAAACCATGTGTTTGATTTTGGTCCTATAGTCAACAGATCTATAAAATAGTGTTTATGATTTATGTAATCTCACCGTCTTTGAAAAACCATATTATTATTGTTTATTGGGCAGTTACTCTAGCATATATGGTTTTAAGTCATGATCTCTACCATTATCAATTAAAGCAACAATAGCCGACACTTCCTTCATCACCTTAACACACAGAGCCCGAGCATAAAATTTACCATGGAAACCGAAGAAAACAACCAACTGGCCTTCCTCGATGTGCTTGTCAAGAGAAATGGAGACTATTTGGATCACACTGTGTATCTAAAACCCACTCAAACAGACCGGTACTTGCACAAACTGTCAAATAATCATCCAAACCAAAAACACGGGATTATCGGAACATTAGCAAATAGAGCAAGACGCATTTGTGCTAAGGATCATATACAAGAGGAACTAAGTCACTTAAATAAAGCCTTTCTTGCTAATGGGTATAATGAGAAAGAAATAAAGGCGGCGCTAGCACCTAAGCAGAGGAGACTTGACGTCAATGAACAGAATAACACCATTAATAAGGCCTTCCTTCCATATATTTCCCAGGTCACCGATAGGATTTGAAAAGTTCTCAGGAAGCACAACATCAAAACAACATACAAACCTACCCGGAAAATAAAGGACTGCTTGAGACTAGCCAAAGACAAAAAGGAATCATTATCCCCTGTAGGGATCTACCGTATACCTTGTTCCTGCGGTAGCGTATATATGGGAATTACCAAACGCTCAGTAGGAACGAGATTTACGGAACACAAGAAAAGCTGCAGGTTAGGGCAAACGGACAAGTCGGCTCTAAGAGATGCTGATCACAAAATCCAGTTCGAAGACACGCAAGTCATTGCCACAACATCTGGATATCATCCTCGTCTGGTCAGGGAAGCTGTTGAAATTCACACACATCCAAATAATTTCAACAGGAAGGAAGAAACTTTCTACCTAAACAGAATTTGGCATCCAGCTATATCTAGGCTTCATAAAATGGTAGCAGCACAGAGAAGTAGACCAGTTCCGGAAGAACCACCACCGGAACAAGCCACGCCCCCTCGGCCGATACATACGCCCCCTCGGCCGCTACGCCGACGCGGAAGCATCAGTCTAGTGTGAGCAGTCGGAGCAAACACACCTCTGAGGATGTTATCCACTCATGCTAGCAAAACGTTAGGAAGGAATTCTAACCGACCGAAAAACCAAATTTCTTCAAGCGATGGCGGCGAAAGCCTAAATTACTACATCTCCAAGAAAAATAAAGCTATTGGGATGAATCAAAGAACAAACTATCGAGAAAAGACGTACCTAGATAATAAAATAATTTTTAAATTCCTTGCTTTGTTAACAAATTCGACAGGGTGTTTCAAACTTTCTCCAAAATATCAACATTTTGTTTTGCCTCGTATAATTGACAGATGGAAACTTACATTTTTAATTTAGAAAGAGATACTAAAAGTCAAATAATCTAGCTACAAATCGCTTAAAAAATCATCAAAATCGGCCCACTAGAACAAAATATATTAAACTTTAAATTACATGAAAATTTTAAGGTGCCCGTTTTTCGTGGCGGTGAGTGTATTATGACCAAAAATTAATATAATCTACCCTATTCACTATAAACCAATGAAATTACTTGTTTCGTATATAATCTACCTACTTAGACACAAACAGAAGCACACCTACACACAACTACTTACGCTCAAATTGTTAATTTTATTTTCGAGTTCGCTAAATTGGTAGTCCAGCGATCTGTAGTAAAGCGAAGGCGAAGAACTGAGGTAGTAGTTTCTGAAGAAACTACCCAAGCACGATCGGTAGTAGGGCCAGTAGCTGGAGTAGTAGCTGTAGGGCCAGTAACTATAGTAGCTACTAGGGTAGTAGGAGCTGTAGTACGTGGGCCAGTACGAGCTGTAATAGCTGGGCCAGTAAGAGGTGTACGTTCTGGGCCAATCGTAGTACCATCTGTAGGCTTTCGGGTAGTAATAGCTGCTTGGGAGGCTAAGAGTGGTATAGTAGCTTGAAGATATGGGGTAGCTGGAGTAATATATTCGCTAGAAATTGTGAATTGATCTCATTTTTTTTATCGTGGTACTTTTTATTTCAGTATTTATTCATTTTGTAATACCTGTTATATTTGGTTAGTCTTATTCTTAATATTACTTTTAATTACATTATATTGACTAATGATGCTTTTAAAATGTAAGATTGTAATTTTAAAGGTTTCTAAATATGGTTGCTAATTGGTTAATTCAGTATTTGTATAATTTCTTTTGTTAATGTTTTTGAACTTGGAAGTTATTTATATTACCTTGAAACATGCCACACTGATTAAAAAATATTACCTTGAATCCAGAGTATACTCTTGTTCCAAGATCATTATTTATGTTTTTTATTAATGTAATAAACTGTATTATTAAATTTCTAGGTTAGGGTAACATAGTAATAAGTGCTTAAAATGTTATGAAGTTTTTTATAAAAATTACTGCAGAGCTTGTAGCACTTTTTTATTTATTTTCAGTTTAATCTACTCACTTATAAATTGAATGTATACAGGGTGAGTCTTAAATAAGTGCAAATATTTTAAGAACTGGTATATATCGATAAAAGAAACATATTTTCTTTTTACCATTTTTCAAATAAGCCCAAAATAACCGAATTATTTAAGTTTGAAAATTAAAAAAAAGTGATTTTTTTTGAAAAAATTTTGAGAGCCACTGGCTTTTTTCTGTATTTGCATCCCTTTCAGGGTTGTTAAGTAGTTTATGAAGCAAAAAACTACGCCAAAAATTACGCGTAGTTTTTTGTATTAACTACGTTTTAAAATTTTAAAAACTTCCTTCAAAAACTACACAAAAACTACGTTAAAAACTACCTAAAAAAAATATAGTAAAACAGACAATTTAGACAAAAATCAAGCCAAATTCTTATCATGGAAGTATGAAGTTATATTATATTTGTATAAGTTAAACAACATCAGAAAAAAAGACATTTTTTTTTCCAACAAAAGTGTATTTTCTACGAAATACAAAGTAACATTGAACACAAAATAAACTATAAATTCTTATGGAGAAATTCTCCATAGACATTCTCCAGGAGAATATATGATTTTTTACATCTAAAGGCACAACTTCATAATTCCCCTCTTCACAGAAGGTATGGAGCAAGGTATGGAGACTGGAGACATCGACGCCTTCCAAGCATTTTTAACTACTAAGTATCAAAAATATCACATAATAAGGAACAAATTCACAAAATATAGATTTTTTATTTCTTTAAATTGATCGACAAAGTTTTTAGGTTATGTTTTCACTGTTATTTAAAAAAAACTACATTAGTTACATAAACTACACATTTACTACTCGACATTTAAAAAACTACTTGTGACATGTAGTAAATGCAGTTTATTAATTACTACGTGTAGTTTAGCAACTCTGATCCCTTTTAGTGCCGTAACCATAGAGTAAAGCTGTACCTAACTGTAGTAATATCAGAGATTAAGAAATTATACCGTGGAAAAATTTGCGGTGAACAGGCAGATCTAAAAAGTATTCGAAAAATATACAGGAAAAGTTAAAAGAAAATGCACGATTTTCAACATCCTTTTTTTGTGAAAAAAACCTCATAGACGTGTTCGTAGGGTCGAAAAATACCACCCCTGAAATTATTTGCACTTATTTAAGACTCACCCTGTATAATTTATAAATTATTATTAAAAATTAAAAAAAAAATTTAATTATTTTTACGCAATTTAATTATTTTTATGCAGTTGTATTTTTATGCAAATATCCTTCAAAATATAAGTGTGTTTCAAATGTATATATACAGAAAGAAACAAACTAAGAAACAGCAACTTTTTTTAGATTTTTTGAAATAAATATTCAGGGGATTGTACAAATAATATACTAAATTTTGTAGTTTATTTTTAGTAATTGTATATCATATCCGTGTGAATTATGAAAATTAAATGGGCAGGTTTCATTTTACAGTATGATCAAAAAGACTTGCGACGAAGCCTTGTATTGTATATGATTACAGATAAACAGTAAGTACCAAAAATTATACTAATATACAGGGTGTCCGAATATTCATTGGACAAAATTAACTTCTGTACGAAAGTGCTTCGTTTGTCCACTAGAGAGCATCAAACTTTAAAAAAATAAACACATTTTTTCAGCTATTTTAAGAACCGTTATTTCTATTTAAATAAGATTTTGGGTGTCTATGTTTTGCTGAGTGCTTTAACATTTGGCTTTTATAAAAATCAAGAAAAAGTGCGGGAAGAGAGAAAACTATCTCCACCCTTACTTAAATTTTGTTATAAATAATTACCAAGTCCACCGACAACAGATTTTCTTTTCGTAAAATGATGCTTCTAGTATTTACTACATCTTTTATCTGTTGTAGAAAAACGAGGAAATTTTTTGAGGAAAAATTTTTGGAGAATTTATTATTCCATAGCACACACACGAATTATACAGGGAGTTCTAATATTCCGCGGATATAGATAGACCGTGGAAATAGTTTTGACATTTCCCGTACATTTTCTTGATTTTTGTGAAAGTCGAATAATTTAGAGCACTTAGCAAAACATAGACACCCAAAATTTTATTCGAAATAACTATTTTTAAAATATCTAAAAATTTTTTTTAAAATATCTAAAAAAATGTGTTTATTTTTTCGAAAAACTTAACTAATACCATATGTCCTCCTCATGATCCACTTTCTTATCTCTCTAATGATAATGTAAACTTACACAGTTTCTTTTTTTCGCCCGTAGTTCTTGAAGAGCTTCGCAGTACAATTAATACCATCAAAAATAAATTCTCTTCAGGGACCGACGGGCTAACTTTAAAAATGTTTTCGAATCTGCCAGAAAGCACTCTGAATCACCTAACAACTTTAATAAACATGTCGTTCCAAAGTGGTATTTTTCCAAAATGTCTTAAGACGGCAATAATCATTCCACTGCACAAAGGAGGAGACAAAGATGAAGCTTCTAACTATCGCCCAATTGCACTCCTTCCAACGCTATCTAAGATCATAGAAAGGTTGGTTAAAAGCAGGCTGGTATCTTTTCTGTTTAAGTACAAAATACTTACTGAATATCAATTTGGATTTCTAAGCAACAAGTCCACAAATGACGCTATGTTTTCCCTCCTTAATAAAGTTTACTCTAGCCTAAACAACCATCATTCTACAGCAACAATTTTCTGTGATTTTTCTAAGGTGTTCGATTGTGTAAATCATAAGATCCTAATTAATAAACTGCAGCACTATGGGTTCAGGGGATCATCTCTCGAATGGTTTAAGTCGTATCTGAGCAACAGAAGTCAACTTGTGAGGGTGGATACCACGTTGTCTTCTAGCAAGCCAATAGAATGTGGAGTACCACAAGGCTCAGTACTAGGCCCTATTTTGTTTCTTCTTTTTATTAACGACATTGCTAACATAAACATCAGTGGCAAAATATGTCTTTTTGCGGACGACACTAGCTTCACTTGGAGCAACAAGGACATCGCGGCACTTCATAGGATTATATCAAATGACTTAATCACCATTAAATCTTGGTGCGATTCGAACCTCCTGAGTCTCAACATTTCTAAAACTAAGGCTTTGTCGTATAAAAACTCGTTGCAGCCTTTTGTACTTGACAACACCACCATTGACGTCGTAAAATCCGTAAAATTCTTAGGGCTTGTTGTGGACAATTCTCTGAAATGGGACATACATATCGAAGCTTTGTCGAAAAAATTGAGCTCTGCCTGTTTTGCATTAAGGTCTGTTTCTAAGGAGCTTAACTTGTCAGTGGCTAGAACTGTTTATTATGCACTTTTTGAGTCGCACCTCAGGTATGCCCTTCCATTCTGGGGTACGTGTTGTGCGGCTCAATTTGACCGCATTTTCAAGCTCCAGAAGAGAGCTGTTCGATATTCACTGGGACTAAACAGCAGAACTCATTGCCGGGGCTTTTTTAGAGAATTAAAAATATTGACTCTTCCTTCCTTATTTATATTTGAATCCGTTTGCCTAATACGTAAACATGTATCAGCTTCTCAAGAAAGGCCATCTCACACTTATCCACTCAGGAACGCGGAGCAAGATCTTTATCTACCTACCCCACGCTCAGAGTTAGTTAAAAGTTCAATATTATACAACTCGAAAAAAATGCACACTCACCTGCCATTTGAAATCAAATCCATAACATCATTTTTTTCATTTCGCAAAGCATTGAACTCTTATTTACTAGACAAGGCTTTCTACGCCGTAATATCTACGCCGTATCAAATCGAATTTGATCTTGAAAACACTGGTCTAATGTTTGCTATTGCTATATTTACTAATGACATCGAAATTAATTTATTTAGAGGTCATTGATATTTTGCTATAAACTGGCTAAATATTTTTGAATATTATTTTATTTTTTTTTGTTCTTTGACATTGTAAACATTTATATATGTTTATTTTAACAATAAGACTGACAATATTATTTGTATAATGTTTTGTATTATCTTTGGTTTATTTGTTTGTGTACCTTGTTTTTTTTTACTTTGTTTGTTAGTTTACCTTTGTCCACAAATTGAAAAAATTTTTTGACAATAAAGGCATTTATTTATTTATTTATTTTAAAAGTTTAATGCTGTCTAGCGGACAAACCAAGCACTTTTGTACACAGAGTGTCACAGAAATAAGTGCAAGTAAAATTAACTGTTAGTATAGTTAACAAGTAAAATTAACAGTAAGTTAAAATTAACTGGTAGTATAGTTCAACCCCAGAAACACGCCTATGAAGTTTTTTTCGCGAAAAAAAAATTTAAAATTCGGAATTTTTTGAAATTTTTTTTATAATTTTTTTTTAGTTTTTATTTAAAAAAAAAATTCTTCATAATATGGCAACATAGGTAGTAGACTAAATTTACAAGAAAGAAAATCCACAAAAAATCCAGTGGTTCTCAAAACTTTAGCAAAAAATATATTTTTTTTGAGAATTTTCGAAGTAAAATAAGTGCGTTATTTTGGACTTATTTGAAAAACGATAAAGATAAAATATGTT